AGCATTTGTTCACTATTTTTATCTATCCAGCTACTATTCTATTACTATTCTATTTTCCTCATTCACCCTCCCACAATCCACAACTCTGCTTGCTCTGCGGGTCCATTCTGCAAGGCTCCCTTTCTCCCCATCTCCCTGCACTTCATACATCTGCTCTCTGCCCTAGTTTTGCATCAGCCGAGCACATTACACTATCCTTCTGCTCACATGCATACTTTGCCCACTCATCCATATGCTGACACACCTTCTCCCTTCCCCATGGATTTCATGGGCCAAACACCACCCCTCCAGATCCACCTGGCAGGCCAAGTGCATATGCAGCACCCATCAGTTTTGGCTGCCCCAGTTTGGTGGTAGCACAGGCGATTCTGCGTGGCTTCCCTAGTCCAGCGCCACTATTCAGCTGCCCCTCAAGTTGGGCCTTTTTATGTATTTTATCACCTCCTCCAGCCATTCAGAAAATCTAAATGAATAAAGTGGATCCACTCAGAAAGCACAAGGGACGGACAGATTCTCTCCTCTTTCTTCCCATCCACTCACATTGTGGTTGCTCTGTCTGCTCCCATAGACTGGGTAACTGAGTCCCTTCACTTTTGCTCGCTGGCTCAACACGTTTATCCACCTTTCTACTCAGGGAGACCCTCCCTTCCCTGCCTAGTCATTGGCACAATCTACTTTTGCTACCCTTCTGACTCTTGCATTTACAGTCTCTGTAGATAATACCAAAAGCTGATCAAAGTTGCAGAAGAAGAGCCCTCATGATTCTTCCCTGCCTGCCACTGCCACTACAGCTGCATGTTCTTTTAAATCAGGTAGAATTAAGGATAAGTCCAGGTAGAAATGCCCTAATCCGCAGTTACCAGTTTAATCTGCACTCAGTGACTTAACCTTTGTCTCCTGCTACAAGGCCTTCTGTCTTTGACACAGCAGGTTCACCAAAGCACAGTGATATTTACAGCAGCCCCCTCCTTCAACTCAGATAAACCTTGTATCCCAAGCACAGCTTCTGCTCAAAGCCACAGGAGAAAGAGAGGAAGATTACAGCGGCATGTACAGATTTTTCTTCGCAGGGGTATTTTGAGACCTCAGAAGGGACAGCGTGTGTTAGAGACAGACCTTCCAACTTCAGTAACTGCGGTGCCAGACAGTTGCTTTTCACTGCAATCTTTTGCTTTGTAGTTTTGGATGGTGACATATGTAAATCTGCAAACAGGTTTCTGGAAAGCGAGCCACCAAGCACATGCAGAGAAACCCTCCTGGGTATGTGCAGCAATTCTCTGGGCTGCCTGCAAGGGTGCCAGGCAGATGGGCAACGGGACCTCAAGTGACATACTTGTGATGTGCACTAGGATTTCACCACGCTCTTCTGCTAGTATGGGAGTTATCTCCACAACGGGAGCCTATCATGCTATAAAGCAGGGAGTGCAGTAACCACTTCCCAATCCCCAAAGTGAACAACAAACACAAAGAAGGGATAGACAAGTATCTCACAGGGAGTGGAGGTAGCTACTCCAGTACTGCTTAACCCATCCAAGCACCAGGAGAGGACACCACGGACAACTGAGGAAGTAGAGAAGCTGCTTTGCGAACACAGAGATAAATAATTGGTTGATAATTGCCAATATGATACATAACCTGTCATCAGTGGGGTTGGAGGCTTCAGATCCACAACACAGACCCCTGTCTGCCATCTTCTCCTCACTGGTCCCCGCTCACTGGCCCTCATTTTCTCACTCACCTCTCAGGCCTAGTCTCCTTGCCCATCCAGGCTCCATCTCCCTTTACCCTCAGCCTTCCTCATCCCAGCCTATTCCTTCCATGCCCTCTTCCCTCCTTGCCTTAGTCAGACTTCTGTCCCCTGTACTTTCCATCCAGGAGGTTCCCTTCCCCTCGCTGCCGAGGTGCCAGGGGCAAAGGCAGCAAGGACACACAGGATCAATAGTTTTCCTGCTCTCAATATTTGCGCCGCAAGGGCCTGGCATCAAGAACCAGAGGAAAAAGCTTACTCACAGTCCCTTGCAGTCAGATGGATGCTCAATGTAGACCACATTTCAGTTGCCAAGCTCTAACAAGTTACACATTGAAACTCATATTATTTTTTCACCCCAAGGCTCATAATTTGGTCACATTTGGGTTGCTGATACTGGACATATTTTTGACACTCTAGAGCAAGCTAACAAAGCTGGAAGCCAATGCTCCTCAGCACAGGGGCTGTATGGTTTCTCAGAAAGTTTACCAGAATCTTTTAAGCATGGAAGTAAAACAACTTATTCTTCCTCCTCCTTTTTCTGGAAGATCGGAGTGGATCTTTTTTTGCTGAAATTGCCTGTGAAAAAGACGAGTAAATAAAAAACCCTTCTGCTTGAAGCAAACATCTAGGCTTCAACATTTCAGTCTGAATGGTTCAGAAGGCCAGAAAACTGCACACAATTAAATATAGGATCTTTTAATGGGAAGTCTTGCACACCTTAACTACAGGCTGTGTTGACAGCTCTGCCTCGGATAATTTGCAGTAAGCGTTGTATTTCTCTAACCCGAGGGAAAGCTGACAAACTTCTTGAAGTGAAGTCTGACTGTGAGGCTGTTACCAGAGCCTACGCTGTCACCTGAAATACCAATCTCCTTATATCGGGATTACAAAGTGGGTGCCTGGTTTTCCATAGCATTAGACAAAAAACATATCTTCTCTTTGGAAGATGAGAAACAACCTCAAAAGAGGAATGGTCTGGGGTTCATTTTTGTTTCAGGGTTCAAAAAATGACATCATGTTGATTCCCTGACTTGGGTCAGCCCTTCCAAAAAGCTGTATGGTGAGTCTCTGATTACTCATTTTGAGATGAGTGAACTTCTCTAATGGCCTCTCCCCAGAGGCACCTCTATTTTCTCTGCTCATCTCCTAATACACACCTTCACTCTGCTCAGGTTTACTGCTGGCCTGGAACAGCCCTCACCTGGGAGTGAAAAAAGCAAAATAATTCCTTTTTGCATTTGTTCTTTTATACTTACGTATGTTGGCACTTTTTAAAGACCAAGTTCAGAGTCATAGGGCCGCAGGGACATCTCACTCTCCCTAAATTTTCAAGCAGAGTTGGCAAGTCTAACTTCCTTTCTCCATCTTTCGTCAGACAAGATGCTACAACTTCTTTCCTATGAAGAGTGACATGGTAAGAATTGTTTCCCAGCCCAAAGGTACCCAGGATATGATTTGCTGCCAAGCATCTGGTTTAAGACAGTCTTAGTAGTTTTCTGAGGAGATTCCATTAAGGGTATTCTCATTTGGGAGTAGAACAAGTCACTGCAAATGCCTATCTTCTGCATCCTAAAATAGCTACCCCAAAGTACTCTCTGTCATTAGTAAAGCTCTCTACAGACCATAGCACAGTAGCCTAAGGGATGCCTCTTTCTCTCTGTGTTTTCCTCGCTATGGATATCTGCTCTGGCATTCCTAATCCATACTCCTTTCCCAGGTACTCCAGAGAGGGAAAGGTTAGTGGCACTGGAGAGGGCTCGCTCCCTGTGTCAGCCTGCCACTGCCCTCACAAGACAGCCCCTCAGAGCAGGACGCCGCGAGGACCATCAGTGCACTGAAGCATTCAGCTGGACTGGATAAAACAGGATGGGCAAGAACTGGCAGGTGAAAACCAGGAATTTCAAACCAACAGCAAGAGCTGGACTGCAAGCGAAGAAACAATCGCTGCTGCAGTTTGCTTGTTTTATCCCAGTGATATCAGTGTACCCAGAAGCTACTGCCAATTGCACAGCAAAACGATTTGCTAGAAAAGTGATAATCATGAAAGCCCAGACCTTGCAGCCCTCAGAAAAAACCATGTTGCACACCTAATCCATAGCAATTATTTATTGTCAGTAAGGTGGTGGGTGGAAGATCACTAACTTAGCAAGTCGTCGTAGCGAGATCAAGCATTTTGTATTTCCTTGATTTTGCAATCCATGTGTGTGCAAGGATAACCTAGGCAGCAGGTAGAGTATGAATGTCTGCATGGATTATAAACAAAAATCCAAAAAGCCTGCAAGGATGAACCATTTATGCTTCAGTTCTCATAACATCTGCATCACTTACAAAGACACACTGACCATCAGCAGCGCTGATATAACCCTGTTTCCCCTGTGCAATACTGCTGCCTGTTACTTGTATAACAGAAATAGCCCCATTTTGTACAGCAGATCCCCATTTCACAAGGCATTGCATATAGCAACTAGGTAAACGGACCAAAAACGCATGTACAGCTGCAAAGACAAGATGAGCTAAGAGGGGAAGACAGCAGGAGTATTCTGACTGAGATGTACAAAATACACTGAGATGCACAAAAGTTAAGTGATTTGTCAGAAGACTTACAAGAAGCAAGCACAAAGCATATTCCTCCAGTACAGCACAGTGCTTTCATTGCAAACCATCTCCCATTCTGTAGAAGGAGGTAATTAGCTGCTTTCTTATGCTCAGTCATGAAAAAGAGATAGTCATCCACAGCTTTGTGCACCTCAGCGGCCTCATTTCTTCAGAATTCAAAAGAAACTAGTAAACAGCCTTTAAAGTAACTAGAATTTTAGCTTGTCAGGGTTCCCGTAAGCCTTCAAGAACAACTTTAATTGGCCAGGTGCACAACTTGTTTGAAGGTGCACATTTACAGCATAAGCAGATGCGGCTGAGTCAGCATTGCTGCTAGGACCTTGCTTTTCTTGACTTCACTGCTCCTTAAACATTGCATCAACACAGGTTTTTGCAATTACTTTTCTGGACTTTTGTTTTTGCTGAAGAACTCCAAGACCCAGAGCTAGGCAATCTGCACGGCTGGCAAAGACAGAGGGTTTCACCAGACGCGCCTGTAAGCGCTTTGAGCTTGACAGTATCACCCTGGCCAGGGCTGGTCTCTGTTCCAGCACAACGTTGATGCCATTTAATCTCTGAGAGCTTCCTGGAGCTCCTGGATGCAAAGGGGCACAGCTTAAACTGCTTCAGGCACTGTATGTTGCCCACTGCAGGGCTGGCACACTCTGCAAAGTCTTTGCTCCACATATTCTCCTCTTATTTCTCCCTCCACTCCCCATACACCTGTCTGTAGACTTAGAAAATTTGGTGTTTTTCCGGTACCCTATCAATAAAACTGGGGGAAACCTACCTCTCTACCCCTGCCAGCTTTTGTGGCTGGCAGAGCTCTGTTTCTGTTGCTCTGCATTCACATCGCTATTTGAGGAGC